GGTGGCCGCACTGGGAGGAAAAACGCTAAATGGACTTTCAGCCGCCGGAGACGAGAAAAGAGCGAACGCGATCCTGGGCGTGGGAGGCCGGCGCCGCGCATGCGCAGAGGTGTGGTCCGGGAAGGTGAGCTGAAGCTGGAGTTAGAGGCGCGGCCGCTGTGAGGTGAGGTGAGGCCGGGCAAGGCCAGGCCAGGCGGGCGGGGGCGGCGGGGGCTGCTGTCGTCGCTGCGGTGGCCATCGAGGACACTGGGGCTGGGGTTGACGGAGACACCGCACAATCCGGCCTCCACTCATTTTAGGCCAGGGTCTCCATCACAGGCCCGGACTAGCGCCCCAGGCCTTCATTTTGGCGCCTTAAAAATCTTGTAAGAGTAATTATTATTATCCCCTCTTCCCTCCCTCGCCCCCGCCCAAAGATGAGGAAACAATCCTAGAGAACTGTAGTAAATTACCCCGGGTGACAGTCGATAGGTACCAGAGTACCAAAGTCTTTAGCTTTATGACAAAGTACATCCCCAGACCTCCTGACTTTTTCTTTAAAAAATACAGTGTACTCGGCTCTTGTTGGGGGAAGGGGTTGTGTGGAAGTAAATCAGGAGGTATCATGTAAGTCGGTTTAGGAATTTCGGTATCGCTGTGGATTCTTGCAAACATTACTTGACTTCCCTGGATCTCAGATTATTTTTTTTCCCATCTGTAAAATGTAACTGGATCAGCCCTGCCGGACTTGGCTCAGCGATTGAGCGTCGACCTAGGATCCAGGCGATCGGGGTTCGATTCCCGGTCAGGGCACATGTCCTGTTGCGGGCTTGATCAATGACTCTCCTCATTGATGTTTCTATCTCTCTCTCCCCCACTCCTTTCCTCTCTCTGAAATCAATAAAAGTATATTAAAAAAAAAAAAAAGTAACTGGANCCGGTGTGGCTGGCTCAGTTGGTTGGAGCGTCCTCCCTGCACCCAAGAGTTGCGGTTTTGATTCCCGGTCAGAGCACACACCCCAGTTACGGGTTCGATCACCCGGCCAGAGGCAACCCTACCGATGTTTCTCTCTCAAATCAATAAAAACATATCCTCTTGAGGATTAAAAAATATATATATTTTTAATGTAACTGGATCAAAAGACTGATACTTTAAATTTCTTGTTCAGTAACCCCTGTTCAGAACTGCGGTGAAACTCCCTCCCCCAAGGCTGCTTCCCTCCACCTGTTGCTCCTTCCCAATTCCACACAAAGTTACGAATTATTGCTTAGACTGGGCCTAAAAGATTTGAACAATCTCTGACAGAACTCATTCAGTTCCTATTATGTGACAGACACTTGCCACCAGAAGGTTTAAGCAGAAGTAGAAAGTAAGATACAGGAAAAGATTCAATGGTCCAGAAGTAGGAGAGTGAAATACTACTTGGCCCTAAAAAAGAAGAAAATCTTACCTTTTGCAACAGCATAGATGGACCTGGAGAGCATTATGCTAAGTGAAGCAAATCAGTCAGAGAAAGACAAGTACCATATAATTTCACTTATATGTAGAATCTAATGAACAAAATAACAAAATAGAAACAGACTCATAGATGCAGAGAACAAACTGACAGGTGTTGGAAGGGAGGGGCATTGTGGGGCTGAGTGAAAAAGGTGAAGGAAGAAAAAAAAATCCTCAGACACAGACAACAGCTTAGTGATAACCAGAGGAAAAGGGGAGAAGGGGGAGGGGGAGGTAGCAGAGGGTAAAGGGGGCGATAAATACTGATGGAAGGAGACTTGATTTGGGGTGGTGAACACACAATACAATATACGGATGATGTATTATAGAATTGTGCACCTAAAACCTATATAATTTTATTAACCAAGGTCACCCAATAAATTCAATAAAATAAGTAAATAAAGTAGGGGAGTGATTTGAGTGGTCAGAGCAAATGGCAATCTTTAAAATATATGAAAGAAATAGGAAGAAATGTTAAAAACTCATTCATTTTCACATTGGAATTGGAGAGGACATTGAATCAGGTTTTTCTAAAAATAATCTGAAGAAAACTTGTTTAAACAGGAAGAACGCTGTTGCCAAATTAATGCAACAGTGTTAGTGAACTGCAGGTGAAATATGCCAAAGTTAAACTAGCTTGAGAAAATTTACCAGAACTCAGAGGGAAAATATAAGATAAAAACTATTAGAGGTAAGGACAGAAGATATGGAGAATGGATCCAGAAAACTAATGATCAAATATGAGCTCCAGAAGTTGATAATAGAACGGAGGAGGAGCAATAATCAAAGAAATAATACAAGAAAATTTACTAAGTTGCTGAAAAAAATTGAATTTAAGGTTTAAATTCAACCCACAGACTTAAAGGGCTTATGAAATACCAGGTAAAAATAAATGAAAAGACATCATATTTAGACCTGAATCAAATGAAAGCTTGTGAGTTTAAAGAATTGAAATATATGTTGACATGGAACAGTTTTCAAGATGTTATGTTAGTTTGAAAAAACAACACACCAGTTGCAGAACAATACAGGGGTGGGCAAAAGTAGGTTTGTAGTTGTAAGTATGCGAAACAGTTTATTCTTGTATTATTATTTATTTATTATTGTATTATTTTCCATACGAACAACTGTAATTCTACTTTTGCCCACTCCTGTATGTAGAGTATGGTTCTGAGTGCAGCAAAACCATTTATTGCATATGTAAATTTCTATAAATATATCAAAAAGGTATGGAAGAATACATACCAAAGTGTGGTTTTTTTTCTAATTGTTTTTATTGATTTTTTTAGAGAGATTGGAAGGGAGAGGGAGAGAGAGAAAGAAAAATGGATCAGATTGGATGCCTCCTGTATGTGCCCCACCGGGGATCGAACCTGCAACTTGGGTATATGCCCTGACCGGGAATTGAACGAGAGACCTTTCGGTGCACAGGAGGACGCCCAACCACTGAACCACACTGGCAAGGGCCATACCACACTTTGAAAGTGGTTATCTTTGTGGAAGAGAGTGGATTTGATGGTAGAGACTGAAAGGCCTATATATTTTTATTATATTTTAAATTTTTACAGTAGAGATTTGGTCACATATTCTGTGAGTAATCAAAAAAACAACAAAGCAAATTTGGATATTGGGGGGAGAGGAATTCAGTTTCTAAAAAATTGTCCTGATTGCTGAGTACAAAGTAGTAAAATGAGTAATGAATAACCACAAATTTAAAAATTCTAACCACTTGAAAAAGCTTCTAAAATACCAATTTGGTGGGGAGAAGTGGGGGAGGTGGAGGAGAGTATAGAAGCAAGAAATGCTGACGGACAGAGACTTGACTTGGGCTGGTGAACACACAATACAGTGTACAGATAATATGTTGTAGAATTGTATACCTGAAACCTGTATAATTTTGTTAACAAGTGTCACCCCAATAAGTTCAATAAAAAGGAAAAAAATTAAGGTTAATGAAAATATTGCACACAAAATGTATGGTATATTATTAAAGCAGTACTCAGGAAAAATTGTAACCTGAAGTGCTTTTATTATTAATTTTAAAAGAATGAAAATTAAAAGAAAAATAGAAGGAAGAAATAAAGATAAAATCAGAAATTAATAAGGAAAATAATAGTACTTGATTAAAAAAATTGAAGAGCTCATTCTTCAGAAATAAAATAGACAGTAAAAGAGACACATTTCTGGCATAAAAAAAGAAGAAAAGTAACCTAAAGAACATCTTTGATGCCTCACAAGCAATTCAAACTTAACTCATCAAATCTCTGATTTTCCCTAAAATACTTGCTTCTTCGTCAGTCTTATATCTTAGTAAAATTATACCATCTAAGTCAAAAGCCAGGCATTATCCTTGTCTCCCTCACTCCTCACATTCAATCCAATATCAGCATATGTCTCATCTATCCCTGTAGTGGACGTCTATGGAATTCATCACCTCAACACTCTCCGCTTTCCTCTTGAAAACTGCCCCTCTCAGAAGTGCTTTCTTTTTTTCCTTTTGTCTTTCTCTTTCCTTTTTTTCCCTTCTCACTCCCTTCATTTGCTCCCATTTTCCTCTCAGGTGCAGAAATTTAAGGCAATCATACTATTTGGTTCACATTATCATCAAAACCTTTCTCATTTTATCTTTTTTGCATTCATTCCAGTTCGCCCACTCATGTTCCTACCCTCCCCACTTAGGTCATCACTCTAATATGTTTGAAATATGTCTTTTAATATATAGTGTCTTGTGTATGTATTGTTTTAAATGTACATAATTGATACTATGTTATAGAAATCATTCTGTTTCTTTTTCATGTTTCTGTAAATACTTCTGACTGTTGCATAGTATTGTCTTAAATGACCTCACTCCGTGACCACTGGTCCTGGGCCAAGATGGGCCAATCAGAGTCCTTACCCAGAACTTTTTGAACTGAAACTGAGAAAGAAAATTCCTCTCCAGTATGGAAGCCATAAAATGTAAAACACAGGAGCTGTCAGCAGCCACGCATCCTGCCATGTGGAACTGGTCTGCAAGGAAAAAGAATGAAGCTGACATGCAGAAAGCAGCAGAGGTGAGAAAAGATCAGGGTCCTGGAAAATCTCAAATCCCTGGTTCTAATTGTTCCTGAAGGTCCATATCCCTGCCTTTCCCATGATTTAACTCTTCCTTCGATTCCATGAGCCAGTAAATCTCATCATCTCCATCTTGTGCCTAAGCCAGTTCAAATTGGGGTTCTATCACTTGCAGCCAAGAGGCCTAATTATAATCTCCAAAATGTAACTTTTGTGTGTGTGTTTTTAATTGTGGCAAAATACACATAACATGAAATATATCATCATAACCATTTTTAAATGTACAGTCCAGTAGTGTTGAATACATTCACATTGTTGTACAACCAACCTCCAGTATTCTTTTCATCTTGCAAAACTGAAACTATACCCATTAAACAACCTCCCTTCTCTTTCCCGCAGGCTCTGGCAACCACCTTTCTACTTTCTATGAATTTACCTGCTCTAGGTACCTCCTATAAGTGTAATCATAAATATTTGCCTTTTTGTGTTTGGCTTATTTCACTGAGCATAATATCCCCAAGATTCATCCATATTGTAGCATGAATAATAATCCATTTTTTAAGGTTGAATAATATTCCATTGGTATAGATCAGATTTTGTTTATCCATTCCTCTGTCAATAGATACTTGGGTTGCTTCTACTTTTGGCTATTGTGCATAATACTGCTATGAACATAGGTGTAAACAAATATGTCTTTGAGACCCTCTTTGAATTCTTTTGGGTATATACCCAGAAGTAAAATGGTAATTATCATATGGTAATTCTATGTTTAACTTTTTGACACACTACCATACTATTTTCCATTTTTACATTTCCCCCAACAGTGTACAAGGGCTCCAGTTTCTCCACATCCCTGCCTTCACTTGTTATTTTTTGGTTTTTGAGGTTTTTAATAGTAGTTATTCTAAGTGTAAGGTGGTATCTCCTTGTAGTTTTGATTTGCATTTCCCTAAAGATTAGTGATGTTGAGGATCTTTTCATGTCCTTGTTGGCCATTTGTATATCTTCTCTGGAAACATGTCTATTCAAGTCCTTCACCCATTTTTTAATCAGGTTTGTTTTTCTAAAATGTATCGAGTGATTATTTTTTTCTACCTCCACTTTCACTGTCCAGGTTCCTGTTGTCTTTCATGTGGAATACTCTAATACTACTTAACTAAATTCCCTGATTCCACTTTTTTTTTTCCTTTTCATTCAGCATAATGTAGCCAGTGTGATTTTCTGAAAATCTGATTTCTAACATGACACTTACCTGCTCAAAATTCTCCAATGGCATTTCATTGCTCTTACGTAAAAAAAATCCATGAGTCATTCATGGTTCCTAATGACCTAGACCCTGCCAACTTCACTTTCATCTCTTTGATCACTATTTTCAAATACAGTGGCCTCACTTTAGTTCCTGGAATATGCCCCCTTTTCCTTAAAGCCTTCACACACGTTATTCCCTCCCCTTGAAACACTTTTCTGCTTAGTCAACCCATTCATCTTATGGGTCATAATTTAAAATTTCACTTCTTCATAGAGGCCCTTACCTGATCTAAATAAGGGCCAACATTATAGTATCCTATCATAACACACTTCCCTAATATCAACTATTACTATTTATAAATACATATTTATTTTGGGATTACTTATTACACATCTCTCCAGTAGGTTATAAGTTTTATGAGAGCAGAGACAAGTCTATTTTTCTAACACTATGTCCCCAAACAGTATCTGACACATAGAAGGTGCTCAATATTTCATAACTGAATGAATACCACAGATATGAAGAATACTTAGAAATATTAATATGTACCATTTCATACTAATTTTAAATTAGATATTATTTTGCCAGAAATATGTTACTGAAATTAATTCAGGAGGAGGTGGCAAATCTACATTAAACCAATAACTATGAAGACACTGAAAAAGTTACCAGAGAGATATTTATAAGGTAAAGACTAATTATCTTTATTTGCAGGTAGTGTGATTATTTGGAGACTATAAAACTATTATCTCTAACAAGATAGTCTAGTAAAGTATCCTATTACATGGTAACTATGCAAAAGTATTAGCTTTCATATACATCATCAGTAAGCGATTATAAATCTAAGGAAAGAAGTACCTTATCTCAGAAGCAACAAAAATGTATTGCACTTAGGCATAAATTTAATCATATCTGTATAGGATATAGGCTATAAAAACTTTACTGAGAAACCTAAAACAAAAAGACTTCACTAAATTGAAAGACACAGATATTTATAAATAGGAAAACTATTTTTAAATGTTAAATACATCCCCAATTCATTTGTTCATTTAACAGTGGTATTTCTGACAACCTTGATACAGGATTTCTGAAGTCCCATTGGAAGAATTATTCATGAACAAAGCCAATAAATTTTAGAAAGAGTAACCAGGGAAGAACATAGTACAATGAACAACTGGAAAAGGAATTGACAGTTTCATAAATGGAACAAAATATGAAGTCTAGAAAAGCCCCAAGCATTAATAGAAATTAATTTTATAAACGTAACATTTGAGAAGAAAAAGATGATTCAGTCAGTAAATTGGTGTGTTAAAGATTCATAAAAGAATAAGTAGCCAATAAATATACAGAAAAAATGTTCACTCACTAAAGAAAAGTGAATTCAAACTATTAGACATTTCATTAAATTGACAGATAATGATATAGCAAACGTGAAGAAAAATGGACATTCCTTAGAAACTGCTGTTGGGAGTGTAAAATGGTATAATCTACAACTCTTCTGGAGATCAGTTTGGAAGGGCTTCTAAGACAAATTCAAATGTCTTAGAAGCGTGCATGCCTTTTGATGCAAAATATCATTTGGTGGAATCTCAGCATGTATGGACATGCACAAAGATCTTGCAGCAAGGCTATTATTCATTAATCATTATTATAGTAAAAAAAACCCCTACATGTTCAACATTAGAGTTATGTAAAACTATGGTATTTTTGTAAAAAGAAATACTATTAAGCCATTTTAAAAGTTGCATAAGTATACCTATTGATAAGCAAAGATTCATAGATATTCATAATATTGTTTTAAAAAAGCAAGTTACTAAACCTGTAAAAGTTTTGTCTGCATTTATATGTGGGCCTGGAAAGATAAACACAAGAGCTTTGATAGCGATTGTCTTTGGTGAGGAAACGAATTGTTTTTCTATTGAACACAAATTGCTTTTGTTAATAAAGAAAAATAGAAACTATGTTTAAATGCTACAATAAAAGTGAAAATGGAAGCATAATGCAGTTACTGAAAATTGTAATTATGAAAATTTTGAAGAAACTGAGCCAAATGGAGTAAACAAAATATTATCTTTGCTTTGATTTTAACTGTCATCTAATGTATGTATATTGAAAGAAACAGAAAATGAACATAATTTATTAAGATGGTAGGAGTGTAGGCAGTTTTTCCCATTGTTAAATAATTTTTTTAAATAAAAGTTTGTATCAGATTTTGAACGCAGCTCATTACAATGATGAAAATGTAGATACCAGTGGCAGAGGTGGGTGGTATGGGTAAGGGATGAGCTTTAAGCCTTCCATAATCACCACCAGTTACTTTCTGCAAAGCTTCATCAGAAAAACCCCCACTTATATTTACTAAGAAAGTCAGCTTCAAGACAAGTTCCCTTCTATACAAAGATTCTGGAGCCCTGGTAACAGAGACAGTTCCCACATTAACACCACAGGCCCCAGGCCTATTTTCCTGTTATGCATTTTCTATTTATTGTTTTATTTTTACTCCTCACCCAAGGGTATGTTTTTATTGATTTTAGAGAGAAAGGAAAGGAGAGAGAGAGAAAGAAACATCAATGTGATGTTGCCTCCTGCCCTGACCAGGAATTGAACCCACTACCTAGTTATGCGTCCTGACGGGGTATTGAACCTGCAACTTTTTTTTTTCTGTATGGGAGGATGCTCCAACCAACTGAACTACTTGGCCAGGGCTCTTTTTGTTTTTTTAAATATATAACTGTTAGAGCAGCTTAAGGTTCATAGCAAAGTTGATCCAAAGGCAGAGATTTCCCATAAACCACCTGCCCCTCCACATGCAATAGCCTCCATCATTATCAACATCCCTCAAAAGAAAAGTACATTTGTTACAACTGAACCTACATTAACACTTTATCACCCAAAGTCTACAGTTTACATTGTAGTTCACTTGTATATTCACTGGGTCTGTGTTATGCATTTTCAAAACCTTTTCATTGAACATGTTGTCTCGGACTTTGCTTTTACCTCTTTTTTATTCCTGGGTTTCAGAACAATGTGTGCTGAGTACTGCATCTCCTTTGCTGATGTTGAAAAAGCTCATATCAACATTCGAGATTCTATCCACCTCACACCAGTGCTAACAAGCTCCATTTTAAACCAAGTAACAGGGCGCAATCTTTTCTTCAAATGTGAACTCTTCCAGAAAACTGGATCTTTTAAGGTAACAATCCCTTTTGTTAGTGTGACATGTACTTTTTCAACCCCTTTTCACATATTAAATTTATTTGACCCTCCTGACTTCCCAGTGAGGTAGGTAGAATTAATATCTTTTTCTAGCTATAGAAAGAGTTGTAGAAGTTTTCCTTTGGTCAAGTTCTAGTGACTTAGCATCAGGTGTTGACAAGCCGCTTTTACACAATCTCAAACTTCCTTATAGCTAGGGTGATAATATACTGTCCACACTGGTGCCTGAGAATGAAAGAGGGAACTTCTAATGATTAAACAGAGATAACAGACATCACCCTGAACTGTTTCAAGGCAAAATGGGCAAGTGGGATCACTGTAAAACCAAGTTTAAGCACTCACTGTGTCAACTCGCTGTTCATTGATACCTTATGAATATAAAAGGTCTAAAGCTAGTTAAATCCTCATATTATCTTTTTCTACAAAGTATATCAGTGCCTTTCTTATGTAAAAAGATAGACTTCTGTGTGTTGATTCGTTAGAAGAATTTTCTGACCATTAGTTGAACTTTAAGATCCTTTTAGGTAAAAATCTGAAAGCTGCATTTAGTACTGGGCCTAACAGGTGTTACTACCCATTGAGTGGTAGTTTTAAGATTTCAAGAATCTACCTTTTCTCCCACCTTAACATTAACTGAGAGCTTTTATACTAAAACAAAACATAAAACTCTCCATTCTCTTTTTCCCTTTGCTTCTGCCATGGTTTTATTAGGCATATATACAGGTATTGCCCTATTTCCAACTTTTAGGGGAAGGCAGGCTGGTCAACAAATAGGTTTATGAGAAATGTCTTGAAAGAGAGACGTACAAAGTGCCATGGAAGAACAGAGGATGAAGTGACTAATTTTGCCTAGGAGAGCAAGGAAGTTGAACCTGATGTTTCATCCAAGTTTTACAGGATGAGTACTTGTAGCCAGCTCAGGAAGGGGGTGGGGGAAAAGAACTACAGGTAGCGTTATGAGCATGCTTGGAGGTACAGGGGTATGAGCTAACCTGGTAGGAGGGAAGCCAGAAGCAATTTAGGGTGGCTACAACAGTGATAGAGGCAGTAGATTTGTATTTGAAAGGCAGTAACTTATAGGCTGTACTTTTGTTACTAAAAACGGCAGTCAAAAAAAAAGATAACATTTGTTTTTAAAAGGTAACTTTCATAATCTAGTAGAAATATTAGATGAGAATGATCCTTGAGGTAGGATCACTGGAGGTTTGATAGCACACAAGTTGAGAAATGAGGCCTCACCAAGGTAGTAGCAAAGACACATGAGATATGTAGGAGGTAGAATCGGTAAGATTTAGTGATGGGCTGGGTATGCAGTATTAGGAAGAGAAAATCTAGTAAAGCTCCTTGGTGGTGGTGTTTTTAAAGAAACTATAATCAAATACGTAAATCCACTGTCCCTCTTTTCCAGATCCGTGGTGCCCTTAATGCCATCAGAGGCTTGATTGTTGCCACTTCAGAAAAGCCCAAAGCTGTGGTTACTCACAGCACTGGGAATCACGGCCAGGCCCTCGCCTACGCTGCCGAACTGGAAGGTAGTTGATTTCTCAGGATGCTGGGTAGGGTTATTAGAAGGGTGGGAAAGTGCCCTTACTTTCAGTGAAATGGGTGATAGCTATGGGAAGTAAATTTCTGAGTCCCTATCCAATTACAAGCAACTGAAATTTCTATCCTAAATTCTCCCAATTTGTACTAACTAAATGTGTTTCTCCATCTCAGGAATTCCTGCTTATATTGTGGTGCCCCAAACAGCTCCCAACTGTAAAAAACTGGCAATACAAGCCTATGGAGCCTCTATAGTGTACAGTGAACAGAGCGATGAGGTGAGGAAGAGAGCAGTGTTCAGGAACACTTTAACAGTTTTCACTATCAAATGAGACTTCTCTTCCTACCTTATTGGGTTCTTCTCAAATCTCCTGTTTCCTTTTTATCTATGTCTAACCTTTTCTCTATCTGCACTAACTCAGATGATCTTAATGGTCTCATAGTTTGAAATATGACCCATCTATATGCTAACTCCAGCCCTAAACTTTGCCCTTAACACAGATTTGTAAATCCAACAGCTACCCAGTGTTCCCACTTGGATGTCTTAATAGGCACCTTAAACTTGCTATGCCCAAAACCAAATTGGCTCAGCAGTTGAGCACCAACCTATGATCCAGGAGATCAAGGTTCGGTCCCCAGCAGGGGGCGTGCAGGAGGTAGCCAACCAGTGACTCTTATCATTGATGTTTCTCTCTCCCTCTCCCTCTCCCTCTCCCTGAAATCAATAAAAATATATTTTAAAAAATAAACCAAATTGATCTTATCACCCCTATATTGTTTCTCTTCCATTCTTCCTCATCTCAGTAAATGGCAACATTGATCCTTCTAGTNTAAAAAATAAACCAAATTGATCTTATCACCCCTATATTGTTCCTCTTCCATTCTTCCTCATCTCAGTAAATGGCAACATTGATCCTTCTAGTTGCTCAAAAAAAATGTTGGAATCATCTTGAGAACTCATACCCCACATCCAAATCTTAGTCCTACTTTCAAAATATTTTCATAATCCAACTACTTCTAACAGCCTCTCCCATTATTACCCTGATTCAAACCAACATTTCTCATGTAGAGTCATTAGCCTCCTAACAGGTCTCTCTGCTTCCACCCTTGTCTCACTAGTCTTTTTTCAGAGCAACCCAGAGCTATCCACTAGTTAGAACTTGTCTTTTGTCAGCTCAAAATCCTCTAATGATTAGTTTCCCATCTCATCCACAGTAGGAACCAAAGTTCTTCCAATCATCTAAGGCCTAGATGGACAGGCCTATTCCTATCTTTCTGATTTCATCTCCGTTATTATCCCCCAAATAGTCCACACCAATCACACTAAGCAGTTTCTCAGAAAGGTCAAGTGCTCCTACTTTGTAGTCTTTGCACTTGGAATTCATTTACCTGGAATATTTTGGAGATACGCAGGATTGGTTCACATCTACCCTTCCTAAGTACCCTGTATAAATTAGTTTTTCTCCACAGCACTTAGATATACCATATATTTACTAATATTCCACCCCTCCCCAACATATTAGAATACAATTGCCATCAGCACAGGGACTGTTTTGTTCAGTTATATCCCCAGTGCCCAAAGAAAGTCTCAAAAAAATAGATGACCAATAAAGTGTTAAAATGATTGAATCTAACTTGTTGGAAACTCTGTTAAATAAAAATCAAGTATGCTAAATTAATGTACTCTTTCAGTCCAGAGAAAATGTTACAAAAAGAATTATGGAAGAAACAGAAGGCATCATGGTACATCCCAACCAGGAGCCTGCAGTGATGGCTGGGCAAGGGACAATTGCCATGGAGGTGCTGAACCAGGTAAAAGCCTAGCCCTTGTTGAGCTACTGGTAAATCTGATGTTTGGCTGTAGAATCAACTATTTAATATGTACATATAAAACTGGTTTTCAATAGACCTATTTATACTTTATATTCTTTTCACTAAAGGTTCCCTTGGTAGATGCACTGGTGGTACCTGTAGGAGGAGGAGGAATGGTTGCTGGAATAGCAATTACAGTTAAGGTGAGAAAACAACTTCTGGAAGACTCCCCACTTCAGGCATAGATGATTTTATTTCACATCACAGTACACTGTGGTACTTGCTCAACGTTCCCCCTAAATTACTGTTCCTTCCCATTTCTTAACTCTTGAGATGAAAGGCCCTTCTCTGCTTCAGTACCCTTTTTTTAATCTATGACTTTACAGCACAAAAGCAATTACAATGAGTGGCAGCCTATCACAGTCCTTTCCCTGAATTCCATCTCACCAACCTACTATCCAAGTCAGGGGCTAATGTTTTCTCAAGTTACCAGTAGAACCAGATGTGATCTAGGTAACTAAAGGCCAGTATTAGGTATACAATTTAAAGTGCTTTAAGATCATATTTTCATTACATCTATCACAGAGAAGGCTCTTGGTCAGAAATGTGTTACCTGTACTGCCTATTTTACTGGAGGCATGTAGGCAGTGGCTAGTAGTGAGATGTCTAATATTCCTCTTCCCAGGCCCTGAGACCTAGTGTGAAGGTATATGCTGCTGAACCCTTGAATGCAGATGACTGCTACCAGTCCAAACTGAAAGGGGAACTGACCCCCAACCCCTGTCCTCCAGAAACCATAGCAGATGGTGTCAAATCCAGCATTGGCTTAAACACCTGGCCTGTTATAAGGGACCTTGTGGATGATGTCTTCACCGTCACAGAGGACGAAATTAAGGTGAGGCTCCAACAGGAAAGAAAGTAACAAGAACAGAGCAGCTTCTTAAGCAAAGATATTTCTTGACTTGGTGACTCGTGACATGTGGGAGGGCCCTAGATATTGGGACACCCTCAGCAGTAGAAGCAGAGTTAGAATGAAAAAAGACCAGCTCTTCATTGGCAAGCATATGTATGTTTATCATTTAGCCTTTAATTGTGAAGGCCCAACAACGAGGCTTTCCTCCTCCCATTTCACTAATTCTTACTACCTTCTCTACCAACAGTATGCAACCCAGCTGGTATGGGAGCGGATGAAACTGCTTATTGAACCTACAGCTGGTGTTGGAGTGGCTGCTGTTCTGTCTCAGCATTTTCAAACAATTCCCCCAGAAGTAAAGAACATATGTATTGTGCTCAGTGGTGGAAATGTAGACTTAACCTCCATAACTTGGGTGAAGCAAGCTGAAAGGCCAGCTCCTTATCAATCTGTTTTTGTTTAATTTATGCATAAGGAAGAAATGGGATTCAGTGTCTCTAGATACTTGGAAATTTGGTCTCCAGTCACTGTTAACTTCCCATCTTACCTTTAAGCAGCTTTCAAAATCCGATTGGACAGTGGATATTTCAGTAAGACTTAATAGTTTTTTGGATGAAGTAGCAATAAAAAAACATCCATACTTAACTAAGATGCCTTGTCAAGGCTAAGAAAAACCTTTTGCAAAAAGGGGCAGCAGACTCCTAGGCTAAAGTAGACAACACAAACTTTGCCCAATCACAACCTGTAGGTTCCCATCCCTCAGGTGCTAACTAGTAGCAAGGAGAGATTGAATCCATTACTTCATGTCCACTTCTGACACTGCTAAAATCTCACTTTTCACCCAAGGTACTGGTTCTGGTACATATGGATCATAAGTCCATTTGGGGAAAACTCGTTTATAGAGGTTCATCAGTACTGTGTCCTGAGATTTTAGTTTCCCATCAAAACTGCACTTCATATGGCCATGAGTACCTAGAAAGAAAACACAGCAAGTTGATCCATTAAAATAAAAAATTTAGCAGTGGTCCTCTACCCTAATAGTCATTTAGGAGCACTGGGGAAATCTAGATAAGGTTCCAAATACTACGTTCTCTTACCTAAAGGCTCCTTGATGTGTCCCCTGCGGCCCCACTTTGTTCTCAGTTCCACCGGTTTAAACCACAGCACATCCTCTTAGAATGAAACACACAAAAGACCAAGATGCAACATTTACCCACAAAATATAAACCCAACCTTCACCCCAGAGGCAATCAGATCCCATCCTTCACACCTACCTCTACTAAAGAACATGTAACGCACTACTGCCATCTTAGTAAAAATTTTGAAAGGATGACCACTCAGAACAACTCTCTTGATGACCATCCTGTCTGGATCCACTGACAAGAGATGGCCTGTGGCAATGAGGCTGTGCATTCCTAAAGGGCAAAAGCAAAGCAGCAGGAGTCTACAGGCCAAAGCATTTATTGCTCCAGTCTATTTAAAGACCTATGCAAGATCTTCTTAGAGAAGCCTTAACGTAGGGATGTACTATGCTGCCTTCCTGGGTCCATGGCAAAGATCACTAAGTGATTTCTGCTAAGCCTGGACCCAGAACCTATCCTAAATATAGCACTCTGAGCAGCCTCAACCAGTTAGCTCAAGTTTGCAAGCAAGATCAAACCCCATTTTTCATCCCTGCCTTAGACCCATTGTGAGGCTGAGACTGGGATATTCTGAAAATTATCATCACCTTCATACCATGTGGCTCCCAAATATAAATATAGAAAACCATGTTAAACCTATTAGGAACCTGTAGGTCTGTTTACCTCTGTGAACTCAACTTACCATTGCTGTTCTGTTTGAAAAGCAGCACAGATGCAGGAGGAAAAGTGATTGGGGCATATATAGTCACCACCAGGGCCATGTCAGCAGTCAAGAATCTCTGAAATTTATGTTTATCCGCTGCCATAATAAAGGTTAAAAAGTAAAAACCAAAAACATTTTGAGGAACCACAGGTAATCCAGAGGCCTGTGAAAAGCTGTATCACTGCAACTCTTACTCCCAAGGCAGTTTGTGTTTCTTTACCCCACTAGTTAAAGTATTTCCCTGCCTCAATACACCTGAAAGATACAATCCGACCCTATCACAGTGATTTTTCAACTGGAGGCAGAATTTTGGAGCCTAGACTACATTTTGGGTTTTAAAAAGTTCTACAGTGATGCTAATACACACCATCCCTACCTACCTCATTTGGGAATCAGTGCTTTATAGGGAATATGTCCACTAAATCAACAGCTCTTAGTCTTGACAAGCATTTTCTATAAAGGGCCAGACATTAAATATTTTAGGCTTTGAGGTCATACAGTCTCTGTTCCAATTATTCAGCTATCTCTGTAGCACAAAATAGCCAAGACAATATATGTGGGGGGTTTTATAAGCAAAACTGTATTCCAACAAAACTTTACAAACAATAGGACAGACTTGCCCAAGGGCCATACTTGGCTGACCTCTGATCTTGGGGACTATCTGAAACTTCTGTTTTTACCGTCAGTGAAACTCTCCTCTTTTTTTTTAATACTGAAGTACAGGAAAATAAAATATTTTAAGGGGAAGAAGAGTTAACCTCTCATTTAGATAGCATGGCTGGTGAAAACTGAAATTATCCAGAGCTTCCATTAATACTGCCTTCATCATTTTCCTCTGGCCATTGCTGAGCTGACAGTATGTATGTACTGATGTTCACAAGTCCCCCCAAGTTAGTACAAAGCCTCTTCCCACCCCTACTTTGTAGCACAATAATTTTTTCACAAAAGTGTCCCTGGTCACCACTCTCTAAACTCATCTAGTCTCAGCATCTCAGAAGCCACACATCTCTTGCTTTGTCCAACTGTGGGCAACCCAATAGCCTTCTCCAGCACTGCCACTGGCATATCAGATGCCAAGGGTTGCACACTTTGACACACTATTTTTATAAAGGTGCCAACTCTGATTCAGAATCTACTCTGGAACAAATACTCATGGCAGAGAAGCCTCAGCACCACACACAGGTTGCATCACTGGGATGCTTCAGGCAGGTTCAGACATTTTGAATAAATATATCATTGGCTCCTAAACCAGAGTAATGAAAATGCCTCTAACCCAGAGACCTAGAATTTGAAATTGTGTACTCTGTACCACCTCACCAAAAGTTATAGTCCCCCAAAAGACAACAGAATAGACCAGAACCCAGAAGGTTCCCCACTGCTTACCTGCAGTGTGCTGAGAAAATAAAGGTGAGGCTCGGAAACGCCTGAACCCACAGTGGAAGATCAGCTCCTCTTTAGCTTTCACAGGTTCAGTGTTTCCAGGATGCCGGCTTACCACCATATTCAGTACTGACATCTAGAGACCAAGTAAGAAAAACAGAACTTCGTATCTAGAACAGCTTTACCCAAAAGAAGGCAAACCAAACTAACAGATTCAGGCTCACTCTAAGAAGTGACGATGCTAATTTATGGTGTAATATAGATGATGAGACACAGATTTATCTTTTACCCCCACCATCAACTGGCACTTAAGCCAAACATAGGCTAGTTTTCAGAGCTTTCATGTACCCTTCTATATTAGTTGACATTCCCGTGTCTCACGCAAGAGCTCAACATCTGCCACATGGTCAATGACTTCAAGCAACTCACTCGCCACACACCTCAAAACAACACTCATTCAAGCCCCTTTTCTTCCTCAGCACTTACACTGACCAAAGGCCTGAGCTCTTGAGAACATACACTCCAACTTACATGACTGCTGGCCACCAAGAGAAAAGATATCTACACCTTGGCATAAACCCTCTTTATTTTTAAGGCCTCCAACCCTTGGTTAAAATCTGATCTGACAAATATCTTAGAGAAGTCTCAGAACCACACAGGTTGCATCATTTAGATGCTTCAGACAGGTTCAGACATGTGTTAAACCATCATTGACTTCTCCATCACCCTGATTCCTAATCCTATATTTTTCGCATCCGAATGAGCAAAATGTCAGTTATAAGTAAAATTTTAGACTGTCAGACAAAACTGGTTGGAAGGTTTCATAACTCCCACTTCCCACAAGAAACTAACCTTCTGCTCATGAGGCAGTAAAGAAAATGCAATCAAGGGTGCTCCGCCCTTGAAGTGCTCGACCACAGCACCAGGTACTTCAGAGACATGAACTGTGACATACCAGCCAACCTGCCAGAAGAAAGCAGAAAACAATCACAATTATCCGAAGGCCTCAGTAATGATGAAACATTTCTCCAAATATGTTAAAAAGTCTCATACTACCCTAAGGCCAACCCTCATCCTTCAAAATTGCCTTTCACAGATGCCTCAAGTATCCAGATTAAACTTTTTTAGTTAACATTTCTGATACCTCTTTTTCCCAATATCACTCTTATCAACTCAGTGCTCCTCTAATTCAGCTATGGGCAGCACAAAACTAGGTAAGGTACTCTTTCGAAGAGGAGTAAAGGAGGGGGCACCTTGGCAAACGAAAGCAAATTGTAGGGATGGATAAAGGGAGGCAGATACCTCAGCTCCTTCATCCTCGTTTTCCTTGATTTCTTTAAAGATGCGTTTCCTGGTATTAGTAAAGTTCTGAAACTGAAAGATCCGAGCATAATCTTGAGGAAGGTTTTCCTTAGGATCCCATGGAGAGGTCCGGAAGCTCTTGAGGCCTCTGTATTTCTGAAATCTAGAATATAGGAGATTTTAAAGAAATAGTCTAATTTATATGGTGCTACTTACCCTTTCTCTCAAGTCAATAATATGGCTAAGGCTCTAACTTAAAGAACTCTTATCACTATCTCTCAAGATACCTAATAGCCCAAATCAAGACCACCCCCCAAAACAGTTTTTAACAAATATTTCAGAACCAAACCCAAGCTCCTCACTGACAAAGGACAAAGTATTCACAGTGGCTCCCTAGTGTCTATCAGGGAGTGGCTCCTTAACCTGAGGAACATGGTCGTTGATAAAAGCCTTACTCCTCTAATATCCAAGAAACTCTCTGGGTTTAGTCAGACTAACCCCCATGCTTTTATTCTTGTGGTTCTAACCAAATTCCCCCAAGTCTCCAAACACATACTTCAATTATTAGTTCACATAGGAAGCATTTGCTAAGTAATCTTAGTATTTCTCATTCATTAAAGTACTGTAACATTATTAGTCTATACCACACAGTCTAGAACTTGATAATATATTACTGTTTACTGTATGTATGTCTTATCTTCCCATATAGAAATGTTAGCCCTCAGGAGCAAGAAAAATGTTTTTCCTCTTTTGTGTCATACTGACATGGCTCTGAGCCACATAAATTTAAAATAAAAATGTTCTGATTGATTTTAGTCTGTTGACTAACCGAATTCTAGCAGCCACATCACGGGGGGTATCTACTTCATCTGGAAACATCTCTTCCAGTCTTTCTTGTTTATATTTCTCTAGCATTTTTTCCTCAGCCTCTTCATCCACTTTCTCATCATACAGATCATCACGCACAGACTCTCCTATAGTCATAGTTTCACATTCCTCCTCTTCTCCCTCATCACTACTCTCATCCTGTGGAATAAAGGATTACAGTTTCAGAAGAAACCCACACCTACCTCTCCCCTAAAAGCCATTAAGCTAAAAAGAAAATAACATTATTAGACACCT